CCTTCGCCGGTGTACCAATGCAAGAAAGCCTTGCGCCGGAACATGGACGTGAACTGCTCGGACACGCGCTTGAACATCTCCTGTATGGCTGTGGTGTTGCCAATGAACGTGGCCGACATCTTTAGGCCCCTKGGTGGTATGTCGCACACCGCCGTTTTCGTGTTGTTGGGTATCCATTCGACGAAGTAGCTGGAGTTCTTCGTCTGCACGTTGAGCATCTGCTCGTCCACCTCTTTCATGGACATGCGGCCGCGGAATATGCTGGCGGCCGTCAGGTACCGGCCGTGGCGTGGGTCGCACGCTGCCATCATGTTTTTGGCGTCAAACATCTGCTGTACCAGCTCAGGGACGGTAAGTGCGCGGTACTGTTGGCTGCCGCGGGAYGTGAGCGGCGCGAACCCGGTGATGAAGAAATGTAGGCGCGGGAACGGCACCATGTTGACGGCCAGCTTTCGGAGATCGGAGTTGAGCTGACCGGGGAACCGGAAGCACGTGGTTACGCCGCACATGGCCGCCGACACCAAGTGGTTCAAGTCACCGTACGTGGGCGTGGTGAGCTTTAGAGTCCGGAAACAAATGTCATACAGCGCTTCGTTGTCGATACAAAACGTTTTGTCGGTGTTCTCCACCAGCTGGTGCACGGATAATGTGGAGTTGTACGGTTCCACTACGGTATCCGATACCTGCCACAAAAATATCGTGTAGATATAGAGACCATAAAATTATAATTACAGCGGTTAGGTTAGATTAAAGTGTACCTATTTGTTTTTACATTGTTCACCTTTCACCTATATATTATTGATTTACTAATATGATAATAATGTGAAAATACCTAAAAATTATTTTTATGTTAAGATTGTCCTTTTTTTTTTTTTCTAAGTATTAATGAAAATACTTTTAATTTTTAACTCCCAAAATTGATGTTAAAAATCAAAATATTTTTTCTATTATATGAAAGCATAAAAAAAAAACACCTTGTAAATTCAATATGTTCATCGCTCGGATCAAAATCTAAAATATAATATAACAAAATGTGTTTGCCTAAAGTTTTAATGGGTAAAATAAAGTATTGAATGAAACGTCGTTATAGAAACATAATATATTGATATATTTTCAATTTTCAAACATTAATAAATAAATGGTATACAAATTATAAACTCGACGCGTACGAAGTAAAAAATAAAACATGTTAATTWTTATTTAACACGTAGTTAGTAAAATTAAATTGGTATTTAAATAGGTGGTACAACTTCTATCCAAACAGTACAAGGACAAATCTATATACAACTTATAAATGTATATTTATTAATTACTATAATTAGTCATTTTTACATGTATATTGCAATTWTGCAATCCCTTACACTTGTCCATAATAATGTGGTAAAATAACCAATAAATGTCTTAAAAATATTCGTAACAGTGGATCTATTCTATAAATAATTTAGATTCACATACGTTATAATAAACCCGAAATATTAATCTAAACTTAACGAATCTACATCTGTAGATATTTAATATTCATTATTTAATACACCTACGTCTCAAATTAAAATTTWATTAAGTTTAATATTACTATAGGCATAGGTACTTAATTATGTTTTTTTCTTAAAAATAAATTACGATCATAACTATTTTTATTTCAAAAATTTGATTATAATTACACGTATTTTTATACCTTGGGTGAAGGAACAATACTGTATGTTGTCATAATACGATCCGGATATTCCTCACGAATTTTAGATATTAAAAGTGTGCCCATTCCGGATCCAGTTCCGCCGCCTAACGAGTGGGTCAGTTGGAACCCTTGCAAGCAGTCGCAACTTTCTGCTTCTTTCCTGAAACACGACATTTTTATCGAGTGGTTAAACATTATGATCGGATGAGTAGGAAAAAYTCTTTATTTTTAAGTACCTGACTACGTCTAAAACTGAATCCACTAACTCCGCACCTTCCGTATAATGTCCTTTGGCCCAATTATTGCCCGCCCCAGATTGTCCGAACACAAAGTTATCTGGGCGGAAAATTTGACCGAAAGGACCCGATCTTACAGAATCCATGGTACCGGGTTCCAAATCCACMAGAATGGCTCGAGGTACATACTTACCCCCTAACATTTCGAAAATAGTATTTGTAATATTAATTGTTTTAACTATWTTTACGCAATATACACATTTCATTACAATAGTATTTATAATAAGTATAACGACGTTACAGAATAATGCTGTGTACCTAACAACGGAACTTTAGGTTAATTAATTTAAATTTACCGAGCGCTTCAGTATAATAGACATTGATTCGTTCAAGTTGTAGATCAGAATCTCCATGATATGATCCGGTTGGATCAATGCCGTGTTCATCGGATATGACTTCCCAAAACTAAACAATTTATAATACACATATTRTTATGTAATATATAATTACATAGCTACATCGGAGATGTATAAAGGTAGTAAGCACCTATATTTATAAATATTTTTAAAAAAATGTTACTTTACAATGATCAAACCTTAAATTATAAGTACCTATGTGGTAATAAAACTATCGTTATTCTAATTAATAGGTAATCGGATAATAAACACTAAAACCSACCAACAATGTCTTCATTTATATTACCTTTGCACCGATTTGATTTCCACATTGGCCAGCTTGTAAATGACAAATTTCACGCATGATTATTATACACACCGGTAATAAACGAGTAAAGTTTAAAAGTGAAAATATGTTGTACGGAACACTGTGCAAAATATAACTGAGTTCAATTAACGTTTGTACTAGTACGCTAGCGAAAAATACATAGATACCCCGAATAGAATAGCAATATTCTCATACATCAAAATGGCCAGCTAATATATAAGTGACAGAAAATCATCGATGATGCTTGTTTCCAAAGACGCTAATTAAAACATATTTTATATTGTAATTGGGGGGAAGAGTGTTCAGTATTTGAATTAATTGTCTGTTGAGTAGGCGCCTATTATACTACTTTAATACTCACCTTCAGTGTACCTACCWAGCTATTTGTGTGTGTTAATGTGTTATAGGCTTATAGCCTGTGAATATTAAGATTTTTATTTTTTATTTATACTGTCATTGAGACTTTGGGCAAGTATATTGAATAATATGTTATTATACCTAGGTATATCTTATTATTTTTGTATATTTATTGTATCAATAGTAAATATACGATATCTGTGATCAATGATCATTGGATTAACGCATAAGTATATATTATAGAAACATTCCAACCGATATTTTATATGAATTTCTAACTAAAAAATAATTTGCAAATCGTCGATAWTTTAATGTTTTTGAGCAGCTATCAAAAAACACTTATAGGTAGCCTTACAAAAAATTTTCCATTTTTTTTAACGGGTACAAAGTTTTGTTGAAAATTTCAAGTATCTGCAGTTTTAAGTTTTTTAAATTACACCAAAAAAAATAAAATCAATTTTAAAACAAATTTGTCCTAATAAATATTGAATTTAAATTGGTAAGATTAAAAAAAAAAAATGTATTCCAAAAACTTAGTGTTTATTATTTTAATAATCTTATAATATGATACATAACATTCTTTGTTTTATTTTCTKGCACGTATATAAACAATTTTGTTGGTATTCATTATTCTGACACGGAAACATTTTAAATAAATGATTTATTTTATTTTGTTTATTTATTTAAATGGTTGCCATTAATTACAWAAAAATTGTATTACCTATTATTRTTATTATTGAACTTATTTTTTGCTTGAACGACGGTGCTACTCTAATTGCATCRCCACATCGTCATATTTCTATAACATTCTCATTTTTTTTCTTACATAAGAACCGTCTCCTGACAATAACGAACACAACAAAAAATAATTAACGAAATAGGTCCAGCCGATCACGTGTAATGCGATGATCAAGGGAAACGTTTTTATATAATTATGGAGAATTAAAGATTAATATAATAATTTAATAATTAATATTACCACACAAACACATAATAACATTTTTAAATACAATATCATTAGATTACCAACTGCTTAATTATTGCTTAATACATTAATTTGTGTCTAATAGTAAAACAATCACTTTTTATTATATGAATATTATAGGATGAGATAATGTCATCGCTCATTATTGTTTAGAATCGATTTTCGTAAACCTATATACCAATATACCAGCTACATACAATGGTTTTATATTATTGAATTCAAATTTCACACATCCATTACAGCGACCCAACTATATAGACTCTAAGCACCTACAACGGGCTACAACTGTACTTCAGAGTGTTACTCAAATATTTGCCCACCTTTTTTTTTATAATATCACAGTCAATGGTGCACGGCTGCATTCACCGGCGTCCGCATCACACAAATATTTTTATGTTCGTGAAACAGAGACATACACCTTTTTTTCTATTGATTTAAGAATAAAAATGATTTGAATAAAATAAACATGTACAGTGTTTTTGTTCTGATTAAATTATTATTTATTATAGTCTTTGTATTATAGATAATCATCGTTTTCGGGAACGCGAAGGGGCGCGATTAACCGATTTTAATAAATGGTTCGCTGGTGGCGCGGTGGACAARGAATAAGTATTTTCGTTGGCGCTTGATTCGCCATCACTCTCTTCCCCGAGACTTCTCCTCCGCCTGCGCGACGACCGTCCGACCGATGACCGCCTCCTTCTCCTCCGGCTGCTTCTACGACGACGACGGCCCCTCGCGGCCTCCGTAAATTCAACGCCGTCCGACGACAAACCGTCATCCAAATTTTGCCTTTGTTCGGTCACGTTTTCATCATCGTCATCCGTAACGCTCAGAGCACGACGACGAGGCCGGCCGCGGCCACTACTCCTTCGACGTCTTCTACTCCGCGACGACGACCGTCTGCCCTTTCGGCTTCTACTCCTCCTACCCCTTCTCCGACGACCCGACGCGTCACTGGTTTCTTCGTCGTCGTCGTCATCGTCCTGTTCCTGGCTGGTATAATCAGAATCCTCCACGCTGTCCTGCTCGTCTTCGTCCCCGCTCGCCCGCCTGCGCCCTGAYCGTGACCGCCTGGATGACCGTCTCCTACGCCTGCGGCTATTGGACATCCGCTTTGATCGGCGACCGCGTCTCATTTCGGTGATGACGCCGCTGGACGACGAACCGCCGGCGAACGCATCATTCGGATTGTCAACGGCGTTGTGGCGGTCTTCTTCGCGATCATTACCATCAGTTACCGACGCATTAGTCTTGTTTCTCGTCATGGTAGTCGTAAAAGATAACTGAATTATTCTTCAAAATATTTAAAATCGGTAGGATAATTGTATTAGAAAATTATTTTATTTCTGAGTCCACCGAATAACACGTACCTATTGAATCTGCCAAATGCAAAGTTAAAATAAACAATGTACATATCCGTATCGACGCGTTTATTAGAACCTAATTATAATAGTGTTGTGTTTTACTTTTGGCTAGCAACATTAAAATTACTTATGAAGTAAAAATATCTAGGTAGRTATTCGGAATATTACTATATGTATCTATTTGGATTGATTTAATATAATACACTATAAATGAAACTTAAATTTAAAACTCTCTACAATATACAATATAAACAMAATTGTATGATTTTTTATTCAATTTAATATCTTGGTACCTTCGTCAAATGCGACTATATACGAGTGAGGTGAATGTTGTCCACACGAATAAGGCGTAAGCTGTGTAAATCGTAAATGTATACACATATCAGTGTACCTAACAGAAATAACTGACTGATGACTTTTTTTTAATGTATTAACACTTGTACTATGTTTAAAATATACACAATACATTTTAGATTCTGAATGAAATTAATGAATGTATAGTATTTACAATGATGTGTGTTAATTTTTTTTTTCGTCAACATTTAGGCCAGAAAAATGATCCAATTTTCGACATCACAATCTTTTCTGTTAGGAAAATGAATGTAGTTGGTGCGTTCTAGGGATCACAATAATTTTTTAAAGCGTTGGGAAAAAAAAAATTAAGAGGACGTGATACCCGCATGTGTTGTCTCTGTCTTACAAGTGCATTATATAGTAAATTTTACGTTCAGCAGAACACGTGTAGCTCCGTTTGCTTAAAAATTAGAGTGAATTGACCTCTTATAAAATTTAAAGGTATGATTGTTATCTAGACAACCTCATATGCTTTTTATTTTATTTAAATTTTAAAGGAAGTTATGAGTATTTTAAGATGCACAAAAAATTTACAATTTTAAAATACTCATTACTCGCTTTAAATTTAATATAAAATAAAAAGCATATGAGGTTGTCTAGATAATAATCTTATCTTTAAATTTTATAAGAGGTCAATTCACTCTAATTTTTAAGCAAACGGAGCTACACGTGTTCTGCTGAGCGAAAAATGTACCATGTTACGCATTTGTAAGACGGAGACAACACATGCGGGTATCACGTCCTCTTAAGGAATAATGGGAATTTTTACACAAAACCAATTTTTGAGAAATTTTATTTTTTCATAAATGATAACTTTTTTAAAAAATATTTTGATTCATTTAAAGCTAAGTTAATTCATAAACCAAGAGGTTTTTATTCAATGCCAGTGCTATGATTCGCGAGGCCCTGTGCAATTTATAAGAAACAAGGCCCCCTTCCCACCTCATGGACAAGTGACAACGAAAACGCATTTCGTGCACACCTCTCGCGCCGSCAATGTTTTTATTAAATAATTACTGTCGATAAAATAACTTTTTCATTTAGTAATATAACTTGAAAGTTTAATAATACTAATTCGGGAGTCCTCATAAGATTCTCAGAAGAAATACAAAAATATTGAAGATAAATAGACATAATCATTATTGCATTTTAAGTTAAAATCTTTAAATAACMTGCAAATTTGTAAATTTTATTATAAGAACAGTTTTAATGATGAAAATATTAATCTAAGTAGTTTATACTAAGTTTTAGTTTTTATAATTTTTTTTTGTGAGATTTTTCTGTTACAGTCCATACATTTAAGGTATAATGTATGGATATTAAGGTTAAGGATTCAATCTATATTAGTATTTAGTATTGTTGGTAAAACACATAATACAATAATTGGAAATTTCAATTTAGGTATATGCATGACAAAAATATTATACAACCGCTTTAACAGTTAAGAGACAACACATACTATAGTAAATTCATTAGTTTATTTGTTAAATCATACATATATTTTTAGAACATCCGAGATAAAAAAACTCTGTTTTACAAGGTTAACAGATTTAATTTAAATTGGTAAATACATAGGTGTCAACAGTTTCAGACGAGTTGAAGCAAATAAAACAAACCAACATAAAACTCAGTCAACTACAAGGGTCAATTATCTTGAGTGTAGCTAAAAGTTAATTAAGTGAAAAATTATACTAAAAAACTTTTATAATCCTTAAATTGTAAAGGTATATAAAAACTATTTAAACAAATTTATTATTAATATCATATTTTTGATAAATGTATTAACTTATGATTTTATAAGATGTCAGTTATGTTTTTAAATATTAAACAAACCAATTCATAAAAAAATACTCAAGATTCAATATTTCATRGTTGAACAGAGCATTATATAATACTTTAGATTTAAGTCTATTCAATCAGTTAAATAGTATGCCGGCCACACCCATGTGTATGTATATAACTGTAAGTAAATAATAGGTAATAATAAATGTAAAATAGGTTTTAAATAATTTGTATAGTTAAATTTACTTTTTACTTATAAAATAAAATACCTAATTTACAGTATAATAATAATAGGTACAACTTAGATGATTAAAATTATAAGTTTTTAATAATGAATATATATTATATGTATATAAGGTATGTGTTTGTGTTTATAATTTATTATAAATCAACAACATTATCATCAATTAAATGTATATATATTTTATAATGTAAACTAAATGATTTTCATAGTGATAAATGCATAGATATAGGCTCATTTTTATGTTTAGGTACAGGAAAAACTTTCAATAATTTAATGGTTGAATATATAAATAACAAATGATAGTTTATATTAAAGTTGACACATCCCAAATTTTAATAATTCTGTCTTGACCTACTGTCACAACACACTTTCGTTGTAAATCCATTGTAATTGACATTACGCTGTGCTTGGTATCATGGAATGTTGCAAGTGGTGTATGACTAAAAATAAAAAATTTGTTTTAACAAATATTTCATCAAGATCAAAATCAAACTTACTCAATGTTACTGCTGCAAAATTTACAGACTCTTACTGGAAGCTCAAATCCCATGGATGGTATGGTAGATTGCTCTTGGCTACATTTATCACAAAGAGCACGGCCACATGCTCTACAATGATGTTGCCTTGATCCAAATTGTTTGCGTTCAAATATTCCAGTGATGTTCCACAAAAATGGTCGGCTACAAGATTCACAGTTATCTGATTCAGCCCATGGAGGTGTCTATAAAATAATTAAAAATAATAAT